TATAGTTAAAAACCCCTCAAAATACAAAAATTAATGTTAGAATGCGTTAAGATAGGTGTACTATAATTTTTTGTTTTAAAAACTTATTTCAATAGGTAACTTAATCATTAAGGGTAAATTTAAAATTCCATAAAAGTACAATGGTATTTAGAAAGTTAGTATCCTGAAACATTATTAGTATAATACCTTTGTTTTTAAGTAAAAATTTCAACTTTACCCCTCGTGAATATGACAAAAGTTCATTTTATCTTTAATGATATTTACATATATAACTTTCACTTGATGCACAAAATACTACAAGAAATAATTTTGTTTAAACATAGAAACAACATAGGCAGTAATTTCACCTTCACAACTCATTTTAATATTAACTTTTGTATTTTGAAGGGTTTTAAATTGTAGATCATCCCTTATACTTTAGAAGTAAAGCGCAACTCAAAAACCCCTCGGAAAAGGTCGTTCCAATGCCAAGAATCCCACCAATTTATCATATTCAGTTCAAAATGTATAAACATTAATTAAAAAAATAGATTTTAAGTCCTAAAAATAGTGTAGCTTGTAGCATATTTGGACCGTCTATTTTTTATATTTTCAAGTGTTTATAGATATGCTCGATTCACACCAGTTTTCAAACATTAAATTTCATTATTAGTGGTGGAAATAGATGTCCAGGCCATCGTAAAAATTTCTTGCATCGAAACTGCAACTTTCGACAACGTTTGGATGTACACCTCACTTTATTGTTTAAGGTTGACACCTTATACAAACCACACCCTAAACATGTAATGTATGCATATTATGCAGCATAGAATTTGCAGTCTTGAAGTTCAGGGTGTTCCATGCTCAGACCAATTCATGCCATATAACTTCTGCGATGAACAAACAAATGATCGAAGCTTACCAGAACAGGGAGAAGAGGTGAGGAGATTTTGTTATGTGCATCTTTGTACTTGTGAGTATGCAACATGAGGAATGCAAACACCGCACATGCCAAGCTCACGCACAACTTTCCGAGAAAGAGGATGACATCACCAATGACATTCACTTTGCCAATGCGAAGTATGTTGTTTAGTATCAAGCCAGTTGCTATTTCAGATGCTTTGCAAAAACTTTTCCCTGTGATGGCAATCTGAACCACCCATAGAAAAAGAAAGAGAAAATTACAAAAGACATTATAGAGAAGAGAATATAGAGAAGGAATCTATAGAACAAACGAAAGGAATATTGTATGTGGTACTACATAGGCAAGTCACTATCCTGGAGATTAACTACACTTGAGAGAGTATCCGGGAGGGCCCTAGTATGATTAATCACCACTATCCATCATCAGGAAGGGATGGCGAATGCTCTTTGGAGTAATGCATTACATGTTCCAACGGATTAAGGAAAAATCTCAGTATAGGGATTTTCTCAGCAAAAAGTGACAAAAGAATAGGAGACAAAAAAGCATGATGGTAGAACCGCAACAAGCATGAGTTGCAAGTAATTAAACAAAGCCAAAATTCAACATTAGTTGCAGGATTAGTATTTTTTTTGTTGCTAACTTGGCAATAGGAATTATTGCAAGGAAAACATAAAAATTATTACATTAATAGCATCACAAAAGGAAAATCAAAACTAAATTCACCCAAAGGACCAGACATGCATGACCACATGGGTCACCTGTTATTCACCACTTTGCTGCAATTACTTGCACAAACTACTTCTTTTCCATGCAAAGAGAAGGAGAATGAGGGAAGAAGGGGGGAGGGAGGGTGGGTGGCGAGAGAGAGAGAGAGAGAGAGAGACTGTGTGTGTTCTCACCATAATGTATGCATTGCGGTTCACTGATTTAGTGGTCCACTCAATACAACTGAGGCAGCAATTAGACAAACAAGACATCATTCTACCCATGATGCCACTTGATGCAGAGTCAGTGTGCTTCAACCGGCGGCGGATGAACTCAAGTATGTAACGAACTGACTCAACAATGGAGACAACAAGTGAACCGAGAGCTATGGAGCCAAGGCTATAGCGAATGAGACGCTTCATCGATGAAAACACAGGAAGGAATGGGATCTCTTGCTGCATTAATATAAAATTCAAATAAGTCAATTTCTTTAAACTCAACAGGAAATGCAGTAAGAATTTTTGAAGGGAAAATTGAAAGGCAACCCTCCTCATTTCAAAATAGAAGAAAATCCCTTGTCATTAATAGAACCAAGTACACATTTTCTCCACATGTTTTGCAGTCCCGTTCTAACAAAACACTATTGGAGTTTTATACCTCTTAACTGGTCAATTACATACAACTATTCTCAAAATTATATAAAAAAAAAGAAACTAAAATAACCTGAACACTATTCTCAGAATGGAAAATTAGTTTGGAAGTAATAATTTTCCATTAGGCAATCAAATGTGAAGCCTAGTGGTCTGGAGCTCGTCCAAGCAATTTGGTTTCACCTACACTATGCAACATTGCAACCCTTATAGTGAAGTTTCAATTTTTCCCATTGCAAAGTAAAATAACCAAGGGACTATGGTATACTCCATTGCGTCATCACCATCAAATGGATGGCAAGAAGGGGATCCATCAAAAAACGAACGTGATGCAATAGAGGTTTAGACTTCCATCACCATCTGTCATTTCATTCAAAGGTCATCGCCCCAATGGGTCCATAGTTAATGGATTACTATATTTTCCCTTTACGCACTGGTACATATACCTAATCGTGCATATCTGTAGCTTCAGTTAGAGTCCAATTTCCAGAAGGCTTACCGATGTCTCCCCACGAGCCCAATAATATGAAGCAACTGAACCAGCAATAACAGTGCCTGAGCATGCGATTATGAACTGAGTAGCCCAGTAACACCCAAAGAGGTGGAAGAGAATAGCTACTGCAATATGAGGAGTGTAGTGAATGCTGTAACCGCAGCAATTGTCACAGTTAACCTTGTTTGCCTTGAGGTCAAAGGCGCAGCATTCCCCATTGCAATCATTCCTTTGTACTTGACCAGAGCTGAATAGATGAAGTGCAGCAGAAAACCAGAACATAATAAAGATTAGAAGAATTGTATATGGAAAAAATGGGAATATAATGAGAGCCTGGACTTCGCCAATGACCTTGGCTGCAACCTGCATAAAGAAGGGAATAGTTATGTAGCAAATAAAATGCATTAAATGGAGCATAGGCTCTACTACAAATGCATCCCTCCAAGATTTTAAATGAGACATACACTATAACATGGACTATGGAAAATCCCAGTGCATTGGCACATCGCTGTTAATGACATAATGGAAGGTGGTTGGTCCTACATCTTCTACGCCCTCTATCAATTTTTTATAGAGAAATTATTGGAAAGAATGGCAAAAAAGTAGCTTTTGAAACGAATTGAGAACTCCTATGTTTCATTAAGGCTAAAATCAGAGCCGATCAAGCTTACCTTTAAAACAGATGTTGCAATAAGAATACGCCTAACAATAGCAATTGTGGAAAGAACGGTGATGACCATAATTAGTGTCATAAGAATAGCAACAGCTCGAAGATGATTTAGCTCCTGAACATAACATGACAAGTTTTTATTTAGCAAGTAAAATTTAACATAAGTTGAGAACTTATCATATAAAACATAGTGTTAGTCAGTTATAAACCCACCCTTCCAGTTACACTGAAGTACGGATCACTTTCCCCAATGATACCAGAGACAGCATCATGCCCAATCCACCCAGCTACAAGCACACAAGTTGGCAGAAAACTATCACTCTCTAACATTCATTATGCTCCCAAACAGTAATGGTGACAGTTATTTCAATCTACTACCAGAAAAGTAAAGGAGAGTAAATTCTGCCACTAAAGTTTGACCATGAGCCTTTCATGCATATCAGTATCATTTATATCACAATCAACAATTTCAGAACATCATTTCACCTGTACAAGATTGGCTGTCCCAAAACAAGTAATACAAAGAAAATAGCACTAGCTTGAGACCACCCTCCTCAATGTCTTCAACACTGAGGCAAATGTCAACACCGCAATACTTGTTATCAATAACACTCCACTCTACTTGACTCCTTGCATTACCAGGAAAAGAACAAAACTAGAGGAAAAAGTTTATATAAGGGTGAGGCCCTAAACAATCAAATTAAGGCTCCCCACAAAAATTCATAAGAAGAGGTTATTTTGATGCTGAAAAATCCTCAATTCGATCATCTCAACCTAAAGATGTATGGAGATAACAAAAGTTAGATTTCAAGTCTTGGAATGCATTATCTAGACCATCAATTTTCAAGATTTTCAAGTGTTCATAAATCTGCTCAATCTACACTATTTTTTAATATTTAAATCTTATAATTGATACTGAAACAACATATTTCAGCACTATTTGAAGGTGCGCCTTACTTTGATTGGTTAACGGCCTCAGCCTCATACAAACCACACCCAAACTAAAATAGGTTATCTTATACCTACTGGCTTCATTTAGTTTTGTTTAATAGGTAGACATTATATATTCAACAACAAAATATTCATCAAATAAACTATCTCTAGGTTTCACATTTTCGTTCATTCTAATATGGAACTTCTCATAGCTTATTTTGTACAACTAGTGTCCAGGCAAGACATACTTTACACATCTACTATTGCATTTCATCACCAAACAAGTCCATGAAGAAGCAGCTCTTACCTTTGATACAAACATTCTTGATGGTTCGGTATCAAGTGGGCTATTATTGAGAATTAAAGATGTAATATTAAAAAGGCTCTATCGCTTTTCAAGAAGAAAATATTCAAAACTATAAATAGTATCCACTGACTAGCCAATTTCATAAAATGAAGGAATTTAGGATAAACAAACATTTTCACCAGATGCATGCAAGTGTGGAAGAAGTGAAGGGGAAGAAAATACTATGTGTGCATGTGTACAAGTAGTACATGCAACGTAATTAATTTTAAAGGCATAAAAAATAAAAAATATTTCAGTGAAAGTCAAAGAATTCTGACCTTTTGCATAGAAGAACATTGTTACAGTTATTATGAGAACATTAAAGAGAACAACCGTAATCCAAGTCATTGCTCCAACAAAATGGCGAATCATTAACAACCAAATCACTGACAGAAAGAGTGGCACCATTGCACCACAAACAATCAACACTGGCCAAGCCTTTCCAATATCAGCTACATACCTCTGTAAACAATGAAAAGATAGACATGAATCGAGGTAAAGTTCTATATGAGCTTCCATAAGAGGATGTAAACATTGAAAGGTTAGAATGAAAGAGTGAGGTTATCAATTAGCAAAATTGCGAGGAAAATGAAAAACATGAGCACTTGTTCAAATTGCAGCTGCCAAAGTAGAAAATAACTTCCAGATATTCCAAATTCTTCACAAAATTGCATACCTAAACTTATAAACAATGTGCCGGGATTCGCCTCGGCCATTAGGGGGAAAAATGTGAAAAAATATAAGAAACGTACTAAAAAGGAAATGAAACCTATTCCCAAAAAAAAAAAAAAAAAAATGAAACCTAAAACAACTTAGAAAGGTTAAAAAAAAAGAAAAAAAAGAAGTTAAAAAAAGTAGAAAAATGGATTAAAAAACAATTTTACAGTTTGGGATATTTTTAAAAACTTCAAAAAAAAGGAAAATATAGCAATAATGATTATGGAAAAAAACACTCACCAATCTTTTCCACATACATCTAAATCATATAAAAAAAAGTTTGTATAACATTTCCTCATTTTTTATTTTTTTTGAAATTTTTTTTATATGCCCCAAGTTGTACACACAACTCGGGGGGACTTGGCCTCGTCTATGGGCAAGGCCAAGTAATTCAGCCTAGTCTGAGTGGACTTGGCTGAGTCCCATCACACTGCTTCTAAAAGACTGTTCTCCTCTGTTCCAAGTCACACAAATATGGATTGACTTCTTAAATGTGAAAGAGAGAATCTCAACTGATTAGTTCTCCAGTTCCAAGATTTACGAATTAATTGCTAGATTCTTACTTTTTATAAAGAGAATTCATTTTCTTCTCTCTCTTTTTTTTTTATGTTGCTATGGTAGGTCTAGTAGGAGATCTGAACCTTGTGACATTATGCTAGATACCCCAACTGACCTAATCCCAACTATAACATGCAGTTCTTTTCAAATTCACACAAGTACAAATATACAAGTAACATAACATATAAAGTCGAGTATAAATGTTAAAAACTAAACAAATAGAACAAGGAGATTATTGCGAAATTGGGAATTCACATCAAGAATGAAAATGGATGAGTTTGTAACACATCCAATTAAAGATTCCAAATTTCACATGACAGCCAACATTTTTTTCCAGAAATTATTTCTTTAGTTCTTTTGACTACTTTTAGGTTCCCTCCACTTTATGAAAAACCAATACCCAAATATATGCAATGGACAAGCATATCATACAAGTACAATATTCATAGCATGCTTCGTAAAACCAGGCAAGTTTATTAGAGAGTACTTAACCATGCTGTCCGAATGTATGTTACCATGACACATATATGAGAATCCACGTCAGATTTGGACCGAATCACCCACCTATATTTTCCCAAGTTTAGTAGAACACATTCATACAGGTCCATACAACACATGTGTAACCATATGTATTTATAAATAAATCAATTTGTGACCCTTTAGTGATAGATATAACTTAAAGAAAAAGGTGGGTAAAATAAAGAACCATGTATCTTACAAAACAGACACGTGTATCACGAAACAGACACGGTGAGACACAGACACGCATGCCTTGCTTGCACAATATGGGGACACGTGTCTACAAAGCAGACAAGTTGCTTCTATGAATCCAAAAAATTAAAAATTTCCAAATACATACATCAAAACAGATTGCCCGTGTCTTATGCAAGTCAACACACGTCTCATGCAATGGTCGGACACTCCCAAACGCGACATGCATGTCACTGTTGCCTATGTCCCAAACTATTTATTATAGAAAACAGAATCCTAATTCCTGAGTATCAAACTCAAGTGAATGAAAGCAAACCTTTAAAACAGCAGATGGGGAATTGATGCCATTGTGGACAGATTTTTCCAATACACCATTTTCATTGATATTAACCCCACCCATCTGCCTCCAGTGATTCAAGGATGCATTAGATGCATGCGCAATAAACTGGCAGCTCCAGTAAACTGGACAATATCGAGAGCAAAAATTCATTGTTATCGGGAACAACAAAGCAACACTTATAGGGAAGCTAAAGCAACATAAAAGGCCATGGATCTCTTTCAAAAGCATAAAGAATTGAATATTTAAATGCGTCTTACAAGATGAACATAAAATAAAAATATAATGATAATGTAGGCCATCAATCTCATGCACGAAACTTTTTTATAGATTAACTCATAAAGCACATGAAGAATAAACTTTTTTCTAATTGATAGTTATAATGACAACCAATTATAAGTAACAACAACGACAGAATAATAATACTAACTAACAGTTTTTACCCAGGCTAACTCACAAATAAAAGTTGCATAAATTCAAGTCATCCATTAGTATAAATAGTTCATTTTGACCTTACCAATAGTAACTGAACTACCCTTAGAAAGTATAGATCCACTAGTAACTGAACTACCCACATTTCATTTCCAACTTACCATTTATGCTAGGAAATATGATAGGGTAGCAAGGGCCTTGAAGCGCAAGGGAACTGTTCCTCATAGGTTGAGTGAGAAACTCAAAGTAATCATAGTTCCTATCAATCCATTCATCCATGGAGAGGTGGATATCTCCCTCAGGGTAATCACAAACCCAATTGAGAATATCTTCAGAAGGACTGGGGCACTCCATCAAGCATATGCTCCTTGCATCACCCAATTTGAACTGGCTTTTACGAAGCCCACTTTGGTATACCTGGTTTGGGTTTAGCCAATATCTCACCTCTAGTTCACGGAGATCAGGGTCTGCATGCTTGTTGCCACAAACATTCCCTTTGTAATCCAGCCCATATGTGAGCCTGAGAAGCAAAATGGCAGTTCAATCACCGTCATCATCATGCAAGCCTTACGCAAAATGGCAGTCCAATATAATCCAAAAAGGAAAAACAATATCATAATAAGCAAGAAAAACAATAGACCCCTCAAACAAGGTAAAATAAATTGAGAAACAGAAAGAGAAAGAGGTCCAAAAAATTCAATGTAATTCAATAAATTATCCTCCAACATGTGAATTCACAAATGAAAAACAGCCGTTAAACTCAATAATTATAGGCACGTCCCGCTGAAACATAAGACCAAACAAGGACAGAAAAGAACCCAAAAAATATCCAAACCAAAAGAGTGAAATGGCACAAAACTTAGATTTCTAAATGACAAAAATAAGTAAAGACCAAGAAGAAAGTATAACACCAAATCAAACATGAATAAACCATTGATTGAGAAAGTATTTATTAACTGGCTATCCTCGAGAAAAAAGTTTAGAAACCATAAAACAATAGGCCCAGATGGTGTTTTGTTCATGACATGGTTATACTCCCTCACTACTCCAAGGAGAATGTAGAAATAAGACAAGAAAAATAAGCAATTCAAAGACTAGGAGTGTTTTAGCCACGGAGAAATGGAAGGTAATACATGCCTGTAACATCTGTTGGTTGTGGGGGTGTGTGTGTGTGTGTGTGTGTGTGTGTGTGAGAGAGAGAGAGAGAGAGAGAGAGACGAACCCGCTTGTCAGAAGAGGGGGAAAATAGGAATTTATTGAGAGAATGATACACTGTAAAATAGCTCTCGCTAAAATCAATAACCACTCTGAGTGTGGGAGAGTATCCATGTGTGCATCAGACAGAGAGAGAGAGAGAGAGAGAGAGAGAGAGAGAGAGAGAGAGAGAGAGAGAGAGAGAGAGAGAGAGAGAGAGAGAGAGAGAGAGAGAGAGAGTAGAGTAGAGAGTAGAAGTAGAGAGAGTAGAGTAGAGTAGAGTAAGGACGTAGTA